GGGATGGGATGGGATGGGATGGGATGGGATGGGATGGGATGGGATGGTTGCACAGTGTGGGAGGTATGCTGTAGGAGTGGAGGGTGCAGGAGGGATGCAAGGTGCAGGAGTGCATGGTGCAGGAGGGGTGCACAGTGCAGAGTGCAGCTGTTTGGGGCACAGCCGATGAGCTGCAGCCCCCCACACCTCTGCTCTCTCCCTGCAGCCTCTCTGTGCTCATAGCCACCTGGCCAAGACGTTGGGCTACCTGGAGTTGGGACCAGGGGGGCTCCTCAAGCACAGCCCCTATGGTGCCCTGAAGCCGCCCCCGGTGCTGCTGCCCGCAGAGCCCCCCCGCAGTCCCTGGGATTGGCAGCAAAATGGGACGGGCAGCGACCCGCCCAGCATCGCCCGCCGCAAACCCCCCCTGAAATCCTCCCGTTCCAAAAAGATCTTCGGCTGGGGCGACTTCTACGTCAGCATCCAAACCCTCAAATTCAGCCTTCTGTTGACGGGTAAAATTGTGGACCACGTCAATGGTACCTTCAGCGTCTACTTTCGTCACAACTCCTCCAGTCTCGGCAACGTGTCGGTCAGCATCGTCCCCCCCAGCAGGGCGGTGGGTTTCGAGGTGCTGCTGCCGGCCCAGCTCCCTCCTCCGCCTTTGCGCCCGGCTCCGGCCCAGCAAAGCACCCTTCCCGAGGGGAGATCCAAAGCTCTCAACTGCCACGTGGAATACGAGAAAACGGACCGCGCGAGGCGGAACCGTCCCTGCCTGTACGACCCCAGCAAGGTCTGCTTCACCGAGCACACGCAGAGCCGCGCCGCGTGGCTGTGCGCCAAGCCCTTCAAGGTCATCTGCATCTTTGTCTCCTTCCTCAGCATCGACTACAAGCTGGTGCAGAAGGTCTGCCCCGACTACAACTTCCAGCACGAGCATCCCTACTTCGGCTGAAATGGGGAGCGGGGAGGGAGGGGGGACGTCCACGTGGTGCTCTGTGCAGTGTGGGGGTCAGGGTCCCCATGGGGCTCTGTGCATTGCGGAAGGGTCCTCATGGGGCTCTGTGCCATGGCGGGGTTCCCATGGGGCTCAGTGCAATGCAGGGGGGTCCTCATGGGGGTGAATGCCAAGGAGGGGGGTCTCCATGGGGTTCTGTGCAACGCTGGGGGTCTCCACTGGGCTCAGTGCATTGCAGAAGGGTCCTCATTAGGCTCTCTGCACTGTGGGGGTCAGGATCCTCATGGGGGCTCTGTGCCGTGCTGGGGTGGAGGTCCCCATGGGGCTCAGTGTAATGTGGGGGGGTCCTCATGGGGTTCAGTGCCATGGTGGGGTGGTCCTCATGCTGCCCTGAGGAGCTTCACCCCGCACACAGAGACCCCCCCAGTGCTGTGAGCCCCCTGCCCACCTCGCAGCCCCTTCCCCCCCATCGTGTCAGAGCCGGGGCTGACTGGGTGGGGGTGCACTGAACAGGGAATGCTCCCGTGTTACTATGATGATGATGATGATGATGATGATGATGATGATAATTATTATTTTTAATAAAGAAAATGAAAACGGAAGAAAGAAAGAAACAAACAAACAAACAAACAAAGAATAAGAAAGAAAGAAAGAAAAAAAAAAAAAAAAAAGAAGTGGAAAATAAAAACCGAAAGAGCGGAAAAAGGGGGGCGGGGCGGAGAGGGGCGGACCGCAACCGCAGACCCTGCCCCTCGGCCCCCCCGGCCCCCCCGGCCCTTTCCCGGCTGCCCCGCAGCTCCGCCCCGGCCGTGTTGGTGGGGGCGGGGCGCGGACCGGGAGCTGCACCGCGATGTGGCCGCTGCGGGTGGGCACGGTGAGGTGGGATGGGGGGGTTCCCGTGGGTACGGGAGGGGGGGTCCCGGTATACCCGGTGTGTGTTGGGGGCGGGGGGGTCCCATTCCTTGTGCGGGTGCCGCTCCCGGGGTGGATGGCGGTGCTTCTACGGGGTCCGGTGCCCAGCGTTGGGGGAGGGGGGCACCTGAGTTCGGGGTGGGGGTCCCGGTGCCGCCTTCCCCCCCCCTTTCACCTCGCCCATCTCCTCTTGGCAGCCCCCGCCCCCACGCACACAGCTCGACCTTTGCATCCATCCCAAAGTCCCCGACCGCCCCCTCCCCCCAACCCCTCCTTTGTCCCCTCCTGCCCCCCCGTCTCTCTCCCCGGCCTTGGCCGCTGTCCCCACTGTGGGGCGATCCGGGGGGCGGCTCCGTTCTGTGCCCTCTCCGAGGCCGGGTGATGCAATGGGGCGGCGTCGGTTACATCACCTGCACGTGTGGGGCAGCACCGGGTTGACCCCTCAATGTGGGGGGGAGGGAGGAGAGGGGTGTCCGCCGTGCCCCCACGTGCACAGCGCCCACGTGCAGCCCTGTGCATGCACGCCGATCACCTGCAGCAGGTTGCTCCTTGCACGAGCATGCATCTCTTTGCACAAGCATGCAGCTCTGTGCATCCACATTCACTGCCTGCAGCAGGTTCTTCCTTGCACGAGCATACAGCTCTTTGCACAAGCGTGCAGCTCCATGCACCCACACTGTTGCTTTCAGCAGTTGGTCTTTGAACTGCCGTGCAGCTCTATGCACGCATGCTGGTCACCTGCAGCAAGTTGCTCTTTGCACAAGCATGCATGCATCTCTGTGCACACGCTTGTTGCCTGCAGCAGGTTCTGCCTTGTACAGGCATTCAAGCTCTGTGCTCACGCTTGTTGCGTGTAGCGGGTCACTCTTTGCACTAGCATGCTGCTCTTTGCACAGCCATGCAACTCTATGCATGCACACTAGTTGCCTGCAGCAGGTTGTTCCTTGCACAAGTTGCAGCTCCATGCATGCACCTGCGGGAGCTGAACCTGTGGGTCGCAGTGACCTCAGGATGGTCCCACTTGCTCCGTGTCACCCCCCCTCACACACCGCATCCCATGACGGGATGGGGGGCTGTTTGGGGGGTGTCAGGTGCAGCAGCTCAGCCCCTCCCCCTCCCCCGCAGGCCCTGCAGCGATGCATCCCTCGAGGTGCCTGCAGCTGGAGGGCGCAGCATGGAGCAGCGATGGCAGCCCCTGGCCATGCCCCCCCCCCCAGCTGGACGGGACAGGAGAGCCTTGCAGACAGCGACCCCGAAGTTTGGGGTTTGGTGCAGAAGGAAAAGGACCGGCAGTGCAGGGGGTTGGAGCTCATTGCATCCGAGGTGGGGAGCAGGATGTGCAGGGGGGGACATGGGGGGGATCCTGCAGCACCGAGCTGATGCTGAGCCTCCAACAAACCCCTCCTGGCCCAGAATTTCTGCAGCCGTGCAGCACTGGAAGCGTTGGGCTCCTGCCTTAATAATAAGTACTCAGAGGGGTACCCAGGAAAGAGGTAATGGGGGGGTGATGGGGGTGATGGGAGGGGGTGATGGGGTGAGGGATGGTGGGGGTTATGGGGAAGTGATGGGGAGGGGTGTGATGGGGGCGCGACGGGGTGGGGGATGATGGAGGAGCGATGGGGAGGTGATGGGAGGGGGTTATGGGGGGGGAATGATGGGGAGGGGGCAGATGGGCAAAGGATGATGGGGATGTGCTGGGGATGGGGGGGAGGGGGATGATGAGGAGAGGGAGATGGGGAGGGGGGTGGTGGGCAAAGAGTGATAGGGGGGTGATGGGGGTTATGGGGAGGGTGATGGGGAAAGGGATGGGGTGGTCATGGGGGTGAGGGAGGGGGGAGGGAGCTCAGGGGCAAAGAGTGATGGGGGGCAGGTGGGGAGGGGGTGATGAGGAGTGATGGGGAGGGGGGTGATGGGGAGTGATGGGGAGGGGGGTGATGGGGAAGGTGGGGAAGTAGGTGAAAGGAGGATGATGGGGAGGGTGATGGGGGGTGATGAGGGTGATGGGGAGGGGGGCGATGGGGGAGTGATAAGGTGGGGTGATGGGAGGGGTTGATGGGGTGGAGGGGTGATGGGGGCTGGTTAAGGTTGGTTAATGGCGGTGGGAGGTGATGGGAGGCACTGAGCCCCACCTGCCCGCATCCCCTCCCAAAAAAAGGTACTACGGGGGGGCCGAGGTGGTGGACCAGCTGGAACTGCTGTGCGAGCAGCGGGCGCTGGAGGCCTTCGACCTGGACCCGCAGCTGTGGGGGGTGAACGTGCAGCCCTACTCCGGCTCCCCGGCCAACTTCGCTGCTTACACTGCTGTGCTGCGACCCCACGACCGCCTGATGGGGCTGGATCTGCCCGACGGGGGCCAGTGGGTGCTGGGGGCAGTGGGGGGGTTGTGGGCTTGGGGGTTGGGGGTATAACCTGACACCATCCCGGACCCCCATCCCTGTGCCCTGCAGCCTCACACATGGATATATGACGGATGCTAAGAGGATCTCGGCCACGTCCATCTTCTTTGAGTCCATGCCCTATAAGCTCGATGTGAGTGCGGTGCGGCTGTGCGGGGGTCGGGAGGGGAATGGCTCAGCCACCTCCATGTGCTGCGTCCCGGGGCTGTGGGGCACTGCGAGGTGCTCCAGCAAGCCGTCTGTCCCTCTGTCTGTCTGTCTGACCCTCTGTTTGTTCTTCCATCCCTCTGTCCATCCATCTGGCCCTCGGTCTGTCCTTCTGTTTGTCCTTCCGTCCCTCTGTCCCTCCGTCCACCCCTCCATCCATCTGTCCCACCATCCCACTGACCATCCTTCTGTCCCTTTATCCCTTCATCTGCCCCTCCGTCCATCCCTCTGTCCATCCATCCATCCCCTCCATCCCTTCATCCATCTGTGTCTGTGTCCTCTGCCCATCCCTCTGTCTGTCCACCTGTCCATCCTTCTGTCCCTCCGTCCATCTCTCTGTCTCCATCTTTCCATCCATCCCTCCGTCCTTCTGTCCGTCCCTCTGTGTGCCATTTCATTCATCCATCCATCCCTTTCTTTGCCCCTCCATCCGTCTGTCCATCTGTCCATCCCTCCCAGCCTGCCACAGGTCTCATAGATTACGCTCAGCTGGAGGTGACGGCTCGTCTCTTCCGTCCCCGCATCATCATTGCCGGCACCAGCGCCTACGCGAGGCTCATTGACTACGGGCGTATGAAGAAGGTGGGGGGCTGATGGGGGGGGGTCTGTGGTGGGGTGGGTGCTGGTACAGGGTGGCTGCGAGTGGGGTGGGTGCTGGTGCGGGATGGGTGCTGCGCCGGGGCTGGTTGCTGACCTCCGTGCCCACAGCTGTGTGAGGAGCTGCGTGCCTTCCTGCTGGCTGACATGGCGCACATCAGCGGCTTGGTGGCTGCCAAAGTCGTCCCGTCGCCCTTTGAGCATGCAGACCTGGTGACCAGCACCACGCATAAGACGTTGCGCGGGGCCAGGTGGGGTGCAGGCCTGGAGCGCAGAGCGGAGCTGGGTGTTCGCGTTGGGTAGGGGGTGTGCCGTGGGCAGCTGGTGTGCTATGGGGCAGCCCCCAGGCCGTGGGGCGGGTGGCATGCTGAAGGCACTGTGCTATGGGGCGGCCTGTTGGCCATGGGGCAGGCAGCATGCTGCGGGCAGCCGGTTGGCCATGGGGCAGCGCTCTCCCCCCTGCAGGTCTGGCCTCATCTTCTACCGCAAGGGCGTGCACTGGGTGGAGCAGAAGACGGGCCGGCAGACGCTTTACGACCTGGAGGACAAAATCAACTTCGCCGTCTTCCCCTCGCTGCAGGGCGGGCCCCACAATCACGCCATTGCCGCCGTGGCCGTGGCCCTCAAACAGGTGTGGGGCAGCCGTGAGGCCTGGCGGGGCTGCTGTGGGGCTCTGTGCTGACGGCTGTGCTCGGCGTGCTCTCCCCCTCCCCCATCCCCATCCCCACATCCAGGCCAAGTCGCCCCAGTTCCGGCAGTACTGCCTGCAGGTGCTGCGCAACGCCAAGGCCATGGCCAGGGCTCTGCTGCAGCGCGGCTACACGCTGGTGTCAGGTAGGGTCTGCTGTGGGGAGGATGCGGCACTGCGGCGTGGGGGGCAGGAGTCTGATGGGGGATGGGGGGCTGGTGGGGGATGGGGGTCTGATGTAGGGTGGAGGTCTGATGTGGAGCAGGGGTCTGATAGGGGTGGGGGTCTAATTGGGGACAGGGGTCTGTTGGGAGGTAGGAGTCTGATGTGGGGTCTGGTAGGGGCTGGGGTCTAATATGGGGCAGGGTCTGATGGGGGGGCAGGGGTCTGATGGAGGATGGGGGTCTGTTGGGGGTCTGAGATCTGATTGGGGGGGGGTCTGATGGGGGCACGGGGCTGGTGGGGGATGGGGGTCTGATGGAGGATGGGGGTCCGGTGTGGGGCAGGCCGCCTGTCGCTCAGCTCTCCCTGGGCTCCCAGGGGGCACCGACAACCACCTGGTCTTGGTGGACCTGCGGCCCAAAGGCATCGATGGAGCCCGGGCTGAGCGCGTCCTGGAGCTTGTCTCCATCACAGCCAACAAGAACACCTGCCCAGGGGACCGGAGCGCCCTCACCCCTGGGGGGCTGCGCCTGGGTGAGGGGCAGCCCCTTCCCCCCTGCGTGTCACCCCTCTGTGGGATTTGGGGCTGCTTTGTGGCTTGGAGGGCAGGACCCCAAAGGGACATTGGGGTCCCCTTGGTGGGTTTGGTTCCCTTCAATGGATTTGGGTCCTTTTGATGGATTTGGGGCCCCCTTGGTGGGTTTGGGTCCCCCATAGTGAGTTTGGGGTCTCTTTGGTGGGTCTGAATCCCCTTTGGCATGTTTTGGTCCCCCTTTGGTGAGTTTGGGGACCCCCATTGTCAGTTTGGTGTCCCCTTAGTGCGTCTGGCTTCTCTGGGTGAATTTGGTGTCCCTTTGGTGGGTCTGGGTCCCTCTCAATGGTTTTGGGTCCCCCAAGGTGAGTTTGGGGTCCCTCTTTGGTGGGTTTTGGTTTCCTATAGTGAGTTCGGAGTCCCCTGGATGTATTTGGGTCCCTTGGGTTGATGTGGGTCCTCCCCAGCCGCTCCCCCCGCCTCACCCCCTAACAATCCCCTCTGCCCCCAGGGACACCCGCGCTGACTTCGCGTGGCTTCGGGGAGGAGGACTTCCATAAAGTGGTGGAGTTCATCGACGAGGGCATTGCGGTGGCCTTGGATGTGAAGAGCAAAACCAGTAAGAGACCCCCAACCCCCTCTCAACCCCAAACTGGACAGCACTGGGCGGGATGGATGGGGGGTGGGCTGCTGCTATGCTTCCCCCACAACCCCAAACATGGGCAAGGGGCTGCAGATGGGCCTGGATGGATGGATGGATGGGGGGCTGCTGTTTTTCTCCCACCCCACCCTTAAATGTGGGCATGGGGCTACAGCCAGGCGGGATGCATTGGAGGCTGCTGTGGCCCCCCTTCCCAAACCCCACATCCAACCCTCCCCCAGGTAAACTTGCAGACTTCCAGGCCTTCCTGCTGCGGGATGCAGAGACGCAGCAGCGCTTGGCGGAGCTCCGCCGACGCGTGGAGAGCTTCGCCCGCGCCTTCCCCATGCCCGGCTTCAGCGACCACTGAGTGGGACCCCCCCCACGCTGGGGGGGTCATGGGGGTATCATCCCCCCCCACTGCTGCACTTAAGCCCCTCGATTTGGGGTTCCCTTCCCCCCGTTTAGTGTTAAGGTGTAGGGACCAATCGCTATGGGGTGGGACAGCTCCCACCCACCCCTCTGCCTCCTCTGCCTCCCCCCCCTTACCTCTTTTCTATGGGGGAGGGGGAGTTGCTAATAAAAGTGGGGGGGCAGAGCCTGCGTGTGTGGAGGTGTGTGTGATGGGCGAGTGGGGCAGGCACTCCCCTGCTGTCCCCCATTGCCCCCTATACTTCAGTGCCTGTCCCACTCCGGTGTCCCTTCCACCCCAGTGCCCCCCCCTACCCCAGAACCCCCACCATTATGCCAGTACCCCCCATACCCCAGTGCCCCCCTTGCCTCCCCCCTTAGCCCATTGCCCCCCTCCCCTACCCCATTGGCCCCCCTTGCCCCATTAATTGACCTCCCACCTCACTGCCCCCGTCCCATACCCCAATTGCCCCCCCTTACCCCATTGCCCCCCCCCCACCTGAAGGCAGCCTACCCCTCTGCCCACGCCAGACATCAGCCCGCCTCTCTCCAACCCCATTGGCCAAAGCAAACCACACAGCAGCAGCCAGGACCCCCCCCACTCCCCAGCCCCCCCCAGGCCGTGTCATGCTGCACGTAATTCACATTTTGGAGGGGGGCTGGGGGCAGGACGGGACACATGAATGCACTGCGGGCATTTGCTTCGCTTCCCATCCCCATTTCCTGCTTCACCTCCTGGGGGCCGGGACCCTGGTGAGCCCCCCCAAGCGTGGGAGAGCGGAAGCACAGGGCTGGGGGGGCCAGAGCCCCCCCCTCCCCCCCAAGCCCTTATGGGGACACTGTGAGCCTGGGAAACCAGACTGCACCCCCCTGGGAGTTTATTGCTGCCCGGTTCATGCAGGAGGCGTGAGCTGGGGGGGGAACAAGGAGCGCAACGTGGGGGGGGTTGCAGGGCGGCTGCGTGGGGCTGCTCAGAAGCTGGGCCGCTCCTTCTTGAGGTTCTTGTAGTCGGTGGAAACCGCTATGAACTGCAAAGAGCAGAGAGGTGAGAGGGGCTGCACTCCCCTGCAGAGCCCCCCCCGCCCCCCCCCGTCCATCCCACTGCTCACTTTGTACTGGTCGGTGGGGCCCAGCTTGTTCCACGGCTCAGGGTTATTCTTTCGGTCCCAGCTGCAAGAAGCAGTGGGACTGTCGGCACACAGCAGCTGTGTGGGGGGGAGGGGGCAGGACCCCCGCACCCCGTAAGCACCCCCAGGCTAATGGGCACCCTACAGCCCCATAAGCACCCCCCAGCTCCACAGGTCCCCACCAGCCCCATAGGCGCCCCTAGTCCCCATATGCACCCCCAGCCCTGTAGGCTCCCCATTCTGCCCCTGCGGGCTCCATGCAGTGACAACCCAGCTCCATCTTGAGGGCCGAGGGCTGTGCCCAGCTTTGAACCACAGGCAGTAGTGGGATGGGTCCCGGTTGGCCGTAACTCCTGCCATTGACTGGGGGGGCACACCTGGTCCTGTGCCCTCCTCCCATAGGTCCTCACTGTGCTGCCTCCCACCGATCCCATCCTTGCTCCCCCTTCCATCCCTGCTGTCTGTCCGCCCGTCCATCACTCAGGCCATCAGTCCCTGTCCATCTGTCCATCACCATCTGCCCTCTGTCCATCATCACTGTCTGTCCATCTATCACATCCCTCTCTGCTTCACCTCCCCCCTCCTCCAAGCCTACATCCTCAGAGCTGAAGCGGTCCTTAAACCCCACCCCCAGCCCCACATCTTCAGGGCTGGAGGGGTCCTTAAACCTCCCCCTCCAAATCCACATCTCCAGAGCTGGAGGTGTCCTCACAGTCCCCCCAACCCCCCCTCTCCAACCCCACATTCCCAGGGCCGGAGGGGTCCTGAAACCCCACGTGCTGGGGTAGAACAGGGGGTCCCCCCTCACCTCTCACCCCCTGGTGCTTCCAGGGGGTGTCAGAGCACTGTGACCCCCCCGTGCCCCATACCTGATGTCGGGGCTGTACAGTGCCAACCTGAGCAGGTACAGCACGGCGCTGCCCAGCCCCACGCTGATGAAGCCAATGAGGGGAACGAGCTGCAGGGAGAGGGAGAGAGATGAAAAATACCCCCAATAAAATGAATATTTATCAGGGCGGCTGGAGAGTGAAAGGGAGAGCTGACAACGCCGGGAGATTTACAGGGGAAATATGGCAGAGCAATCCTGTAGCGGGGCTGCAGTACACAGTGTAGCTGTCAGCTTGAGTGACTGAATTAAAAGAGGGAGAGAAAAATCGGCTCATGGTGGAGAGGAATTGGGCTCGGAATGAGAAATCACTTCCTTCCCTCCTGCACTGCATCCAATCCTGCGCTGCATCCATTTCTGCACCGCATCCCCTCCTGCACCACGTCCTGCCCTGCGTCCCTTCCTGCACTGCATCCCGTACTGCACTGTTCTGCCTTGCACTGCTCTCCCGCACCACACCGCCTCCTGCACTGCATCCCCACCACCACCACGTACCCTCCTGCACCCCTCCCTTCCTTCATTGCATCCCCTTCTGCACCACATCCACTCCTGCACCACGTCCCTGCACCGTGTTCTGCCCTGCACCACACTCCCTCCAGCACTGCTCCCCTCTATGCTGCATCCCTGCCCTGCACTGCATCCCCTCCACCAGATCCCCTCCTGAACTGCATCCCATCCTGCACCATGTCCCACCCGTACCCTCCTGCCATGCACTGCATCTCCTGCATTGCATCCATTCCTGCCCCACGCCCCCTCCATCCCTGCACATCCTTCTGCCCTCCCACCTTCCCCCACCAGCTGCTGGATGCTTCCAGCCGCCTGCAGCTCCGGACAACAACACGGGGGGAGGCACTCAGTGCTCCCCCCCCCCACCAACGCCACCACATCCTCATGGCACCGATCCGAGAGCACACAAAGCCCTCATCGCTCCATCACGCAGAGCGGAGCTCGGGCTGCCCACCACCTCCCCTCCTCGTGCTGCCGTTCCGCGCTGCCCGGGGGGACGCGGCCTCAATCGCGGTGGATCCGCAGCGCTGCTGACCTCCCCCGAATCGCGGTGCTGCCGGAGTAATGAGGCTCTGTCAGTGCTCACCCCTGGGACGCCAGCCGCGGCCGTTTGCTCTCCGTGCCCATTAAACGGCACCGCTTTTCTTTGCCCACACCTGAGCTCGGCTGTGGACCAGCAGCATCGCTTGGCCACACGTTTCCTGCTGCCCTCCTGCCTCAGTTTCCCACTTGTGCGAGGACGGATGGCTGGAACCGTCTCCTGTCTGCTCCTTTACCACACTCTGCTATGTGGCTGTGGTCCCCGTCCCCCCCCGCTCACCCTCCACCCCATCGTGCTGCACCCCCACCCCATTTGACCCCCATGGCCGCAGCTTTGGAGCTCAGAGCCATCAGCAGCTGTTGTCTGTGCCTCCATGTGCCCATCATCACCATCTGCTGCTGACACCTTCTGCCTAATTAACGCCTCGGAAGAACTAAGGGGCCAACCCCCCCCTCCCCAAATAAATAAGACATTGTGAGTGATGACCGTAGGCTTACAGCCCCACAGAACCGTTCAGGAGGGCTCAATCCGAGCCCCAGTGGTGGGACTGCAGTGCACTCCCACCCCACAACCATCACTGGGATCCCCACAGGGCTCTGCTGCTGCACCCATTGCAAACGAGCGCAGGTGAATCTGGGCAGTCTCTGCCAACGGGCAGCTGCTGCGGGGCTGAGGCGCTCCCAATGCAGTGCAATGCGTCTGCAGTGCCACGCTGCTCTCCGTGCCCCTCCGCGCAACCCCTGCAGCTGTTGGTGGCTACTTCAGGGCTTCCAGCACCGGCAGTGGGACCGTTAGTTCCCCCCCACAGGGACATTGAGGTGTGAGCAGTTCCACGTCCCGCTGTGCGGCTCCACATCACCCCATAGCACGGTGCCCCCGCCCCATCGCAGTGCCCGTCATCTTTTCCAGCCTGGCAACGCCGCTCCTCGCACCGCTGCCAAATGCCGACGTGACTCAGAGCCACACTCAGCCAGAGCCCTGTGCACGTCCCCAGTCCTGGGGGGGAGTTGGGGGCTGGGACCCCCCCCCATAGGGCTCCTGGAATGGGGGGGCCTCGCTTAGCTGGGGGGTTTTGGGGGGGATCTGGTGGGCTGTGGCTTTGTGTGCAAATGCTCTGCTTGTGTCGGTGGGGATGGGGGTGGATCAGAGGTGGGGGTGCTGCCCCAAACCTGGGCTGTGGGGTCGGATAGGGCTCCGATTAAATTCCTCTTCATGTCCCCTCCAGAGGGGTCTCCAAATCAGGGGGATGTGAGGTGAGGGTGGATGTGAGCAGCCGCAAGCACACAGAGCACAACCCAGTGCCACGCTGCAGCCCTGAGGTGTCAGATGGAGGGTATGGGGTCAGTTGGGAGACACGAGGTCAGTAAGAGCCTGCAGCACCCCAATAGGGTCAAACGTGGGGTGCGGGGTGGGTCAGGAGGGCTGTGCTGCACCCCAAAGGGGTCAGATGTGGGGCACAGAGTGGGTTAGGAGTATCCTGCAACACCACAGTGGGGTCAGATGCGGGTATGAGGTGGGTTAGGACTGTGCTGCACCTCAATAGGGTCAGATGTGGGTATGAGGTCAGGCAGACACTGCAGCACCCCAGTATGGTTGGATATAGGGTATGGAGTGGGGCAGGAGGACCCTGCTGAACCCAATGGGGTCAGATGTGGGGTGCCAGGTGGGTCAGATGTTGAGTAGTGGGGTGGATCAGGAGGTCCATGCTGCACCCTTGAGGGGTCAGATGTGGGGCGCAGGGTGGGATGGGACCTCCAGCACGTGGGGGATGCTGAGAGCTGGGAGGGGGGTTGAGGGCAGGGAACAGCCCTGAGGGGGCACAGAGAGGGATATGTGGGGATGGGGAAGGCAGCAGGGGGTGGAGAAGGAGTTGGGGAGGAGGAAGTGGGAGCAGATCCAGGGAGGGGAGAAACCCCCTGGGATGGGGGGGGAGTCCCGGGGTGTAGGGAGTCCGGAGGGTGGGGGGGGGGTCTCACTCACGCCCGGGTGCCGCTTGACGTGCCGGGAGAACATCGCTCCGAGCAGAGCGCCCTTCATGGCCGAGCCGGAGGAGCTGCGGGTGGGGAACGGAGCTGCGGGGATGGGACGGACGGGGCGGGACTGGACGGACGAAGAACCCACAGGGCACGGCCTTCACACGGCTCCCCCCCCCAGCCACCCTCCCCCGCATCCTCTTCCCCTCCTCTCTCC